TCCCACAAGATAAATTTGAATTGTTTACTAAATTGATAGCATAATATGTTTAATTTTTAATATTAACATTAGAAGATCAGAGAGAGTCTTACCCGGTGAATCAGCCTCAAATGAAGTAGCAGAGTTTGAACAGTACATCACATCGCAGACAATAATCTCTAAGCTACAGAAGGTAATAGGAATATAAACACACCTCTACAAAACTTGTCAGCCACAGAAAACTGTTGTTTCTTACTACAAAACTGTAGTAGAAAAGAAATGTGTCTACGTTCCCCTAAGTGAGAGACAGAAAAGGGGGTCTGTAACCACAGAGTATGAAAAAAAAAATCAAAGCAGAGGCCTAGAATCAGTGCAGATGTTATTTAATTGATGTTTAATATTGTTTGAAAAATAAAAATGGAGAACAGAAAAACTGTTTGCTCTTTGCTTCTTGGTGTAGTGAAATATCCATCTCAATGATCATTTTAAAAGAGGCAAAAGTAGGTCTGCTTTAGAGAAGGCCATTACCCTGATTTTGGCAAGGTCAAAAACCAGTAAGGAGAATCTCAAGTTTAGCCAAGACATCTTTGTTGTGTATTTCTAGCCTATGTACATCTACTCGATTGTTAACTAAAACGAGGATGGGCATTTTGCCCAATTTTGTTCACTACCATATTCCCATAGCTTAGTAGAGTAACTGGGGACAAATAATAGGCAGTTTATCTCTGCTTTTAATAGAAAAAAAAATGAATTCATGTAATTTGCTATGTCCATGGGGATATTTCATAGTCCCTTCTAATTTTCATGGTTAAAATTGATTTCATACCCTTTGAACTTTAATTCCAGTTCAGAAGTTTACCCTGAAAATGCACCTGCAACAACACAAAAATACATATGTACAACATTATTAACTGTAGTATAATTTATAATTGCAAAGTAATTGTGATACTTCTTTGTATTCTTCAAAAAATGTGTGTAGTTTTTATTTTTGGAAGCATGTTAGTATTTTTCATATTAAAAATGACAATGAAAATGGGAAGGGGGGAATCTAAATTTGAACACAAGTTCAAATGACTTCAATTATATTTCAAGCGATTATGATAAACACACTGAACAGGGGAGGAGGAAAAAACTATGACAAATCACATATCTAACTATATACTCTCAGTCTTGGGCAAGATGGGGTTGTGAAGAGAAAACTAACAAATCCTAAACCTTCTTAGGAGCTTTTGTTTATTTTATGGCCATAGGCAAAGTGACTCTGAAACTGTCAGCTTTATTATTGTCAGTCCTGTAGGACTGAGTTAATGAGTAAATGCTGATGCTGGGATCCAGAACATTGTTGGAAGTCATTCTCATGATGGAATAAAGAGAATGCAATTATGGAAAAGGAAGAAAGCAAGAAAGAACACGGTGGCAATAGACCAGCATGGTATAGAATGGGAGGTATGAAGTAATACTGTGTAAAGTATAGATACACACGTGAATATGTATATAAACGGGTATGTGTGAATGTACGTGCGTGCATGCACACATATTTCATAGATTTGTCTGCTAAACAGGCCAAGAAGCAAGGACACACCTTAATAACAAAGAGCTCAGTTGATGCCCACTCAAAGATAGGAAGGCTCTTTAGAGAAATGGCTGATTCCATTACTAGGGCAGGGTAGGTACAAAATGAGCCTAGCATATCTTGTTAGGCCAGAATGTAAGGAAGTGCTTTAAAAAAAAATGGAAGTCACAGGGGCACAGAAGCCAGCCTGAAGAGGCTCTCCCTGGCAAGGATGGCAATGAATTATAAACCACTGAAAAGGGAGAAAAATGACTCCATACTGTCCACAGTTAGATAAATGAAGTTAGAAGGAATGAGGGAGAGCTCTTGCCTACACTACAGTATCAATGCTGATTGGTAAATATGAAGGAAATGTTGAAGTTGGAATATCATTATTTTGTGACTATCACAGTGAAGATTATTAGATCAGGCAAGAATCAAGACGAATGATAAACTTAGAGGGAAATTTTGGTAAGAAGCAGAATATCTTCATGATTTTAAAATGTCTTATTAGTTGCAATGGGGGAAAAATAGTAACATACTACAGAAATTGGGCAAAACCTTAAGCAGGTGCGTCAAAATTACTACTATAAATGAAGGAAAAGGCACTGTGTGTCTCTGGATAGGGTACCGTGAGTAAAACATATCATGATCTATATAGAGAGTATTTCAGGAAAGAATGAATACCTGAATCTAATTATAAGGAAACATCAGAACATTAGGTAAATATAAAATGAGGAGTATGCATTCTTCTCTATCTATATTATGAGATAGACAAAGAACACACCAGAGAACAAATGGAGTAAAATGCCAATAAATCTAGATTTAAGAATAATAGGATATTTGTTGTACTATTTTTATTCTTGTAACTTTTCTGAAGCTCTGAAATTATTCCCAAATGGCAAGTTTTTTCTAAAGTAATGCACAGATATGTGATCTTTGAGAAAAAAGTCAATAGTGGCTTTAGTGTATCCCAAGTGGCCAGATCAGTCCCAGGCATTAAACAGCACCTATATATATGTATATATAGCTGCTCCATCATTCATTTTTTGGATGAATGAATGAATCTGCGAATGAACAGGTAAGCACTGTTTATTTGCTGTTCTCCTTACTTTAAACATATCTATACAAAAGTTTTTTCTAAGTCTTTTTTTTCAAATATATGGGGACATACTACTAAAAATCTGAAGATGACGCCATTACCAATTATGATTGACAATTATCATTACCCCTGAAATATGCTTTTCCATTATTATAATAATTTCTCTCTCCTTTACTCTCCAAACACATTTCTTAAATTTTGCTCATAATACCTTTTAAAGTCTCTTGAATAATTTACCCCTTTCTGTTTCTCTTGCTATCATTCTGGTACCGGCCACCTCATGTACTTGTACTATCTAACTGGTCTTCCTGGTTGCCTTACTTCTTACCTTGCTTCTCTACAATCTATGTAATTTTCAAAACACAACTTTGATTATATTTTCCTCCATCTTAAATTTCCCAAGTGGCTTTTTTATAACCTGTAGAGTAACTTCTCACTGACTGCCATGGATCATGATCTGCCTTTTGATTCTTTGTTCTGTCTTATCCATCACTCTTACTTTTGCATTCAAAGCTCAAAGATTATTTATTCACTCCTTCATTTATTCTCATGCATATTAATATAGCATCTATTTAGCTTCTTTTTACTTCCTTGGATACTCTACATTCTCTTTTGCCTCTGGTGCTTTGTGCCTGCTGTTTTCTCTCCAATCCCTACCCCTGTAACCACTTTTAATTTTAGGCTAACTTCTACTCATTTTTTCAGGTCTCCATTAATGTTTCTTGTCCAGGAGGCTTTTCTGGACCATTAGTTTTTGGTTATTTGTTCTATGCTCTCACTACAAGTTCACATATCACCCTGTATTTAATCTGTTTATGTAACTCTGATTAATGTCTAGCTCCCTATTAGAATGCAAAATTCATGAAAAGTGGGGCAAAAGAGAGGGATAAATATTGGAGAAAGATCTGTGATGAGGCAGGCCATAAAGTAAAAGATAACTAGAGGTAATTATATCTCATGGAAACCATTCCCTTCTTTATGTGCCTTCTATGTACCCTGGTCTGTCCTTCTCCATCCTTCGTCTCTTGTAAGCCACCTTCTCCATCACTACAAAAGGTATTATTTCACAACACAAATCTGATTATCTGAATATATACACTCCACACAAACAAGACTAATAGTTTTGCAATAACAGCAGGATAATACCAAATTCTTTAGCAGATTCTAAAACTCTACCTATTTCTCTCAAAACAAAAAAAGCAAACAACCTGTGGCACATCCCTATGTCCTGCCAGAGTTGGTCATCCCAACTTTGCCTGTATAAAAATCCAAGATTGAGACACCTGGGTGGCTCAGTGGTTGAGGATCTGCCTTCAACTCAGGGCGTGATCCCGGGGTCCTGGGATGGAGTCTTGCATCGGGTTCCTTGCAGAGAGCCTGCTTCTCCCTCTGTCTATGTCTCTGCTTCTCGTTCTGTGTCTCTCATGAATAAATAAATAAAATCTTAAAAAAAAAAAAAAAACCAAGATTTCTGTACTCATGGTATTTGTACCTAATTGTGGACTCTAGTTTTCCTTTGGCCAAATAATCTCCCCTGTATTTCAACATGTCTTTCCCTACTGAATGGAATCTTTACTACCTCCTTTCATCATTCCATTTGCTTGGGAACTAAGTTTATAAGCATGTAATTTTGCTTATACAAATCTCTTAGAAAAGGTGTTAACACTCAGCAAGAACAGATCTATAAGAATAAATGTTGCAACTACACTAGTAGACCATTAGTCCCACAATTTTGAGTGAAAGCATGATTTACAAATAGAAGAGCACAGACCAAAATCAAAATATCTTCAGAATGCAAAAAGAAAAATCAAGTTTACTAATATTTATCTTTCTGCCTCTCTCTCATACACACAAACACACACAGACTTACTACATATTACTTATCAGTATGTAGCAGTTAAAAGGACAAAGCTCTGGAAGGAGATATATAATACAGAGTTCTTTTTTGGAATGGTATTATTTCTACCTATTTTAGCAAAGCCATGTGCATGTGAGCTATTGTGGGGTAGTATAAAGAATTTCATCAGGGTAGCCCGAGTGGCTCAGCGGTTTAGTGCTGCCCTCAGCCCAGGGCGTGATCCTGGAGACCCGGAATTGAGTCCCATGTCAGGCTCCCTGCTTGGAGCCTGCTTCTCCCTCTGCCTGGGTCTCTGCCTCTCTCTCTCTCTCTCTCTCTCTCTCTCTCTCTCATGAATAAAAAAATAAAATCTTAAAAAAAAAAAAGAACCTCATCAAATATAACCAAATAAAATCTATTAGCATAAAAAACGCTAAATGAAATACTGTAGTTTTTCTACTTTATTTTTTCAATTTACTTAACAAGGGCTTGCCTCCCTAATTCATGGAATGAAACTGCCCAACACTTACCTTCGAGGATGACTGGCATCAAACAAAGTGTTATCATCATCCTCATCATCTTGTTCTAAAGGTGTCAACTCCATGTTTTCTATGTTAGTGTCCAAAACTCCATATCTCCTAGTCTTTCGGTTTCTTCTTCTCATCCTATTAAACAGAACATGTTAATAAATAAAAGTTATTTGAATATGGCATAAACGACCCTTACTTTATATCTATTTGTAAACTAAAAATAAATTATCCCTCTGTTGCTGGCATTGGAAGCACTCAGTATCAGAATGGCTACATTTCAGAAATGTAAACAATTTACTACCTAGGATTATTTATGAAACAAAAATCTATCCTACATGTTGCATACCATTTCTTCTGTCCAACCTACTCTCTTCTCTATGAGCTTATGATATAGACAGATAAACCTTCAGGTACCATAGGTTTACTGAAGCCTTCTATTTCGGCCTTTTCCCTACCTTCCCCATGTCTTCTTACCACTGTGCAGGATTAGGTACTTTCTGCCCCACTAAGAAACATTATGTATATACATATTCAAATTCTACACCTAAGTAGCTGTACATCAGAATCACTCTGGGTATTTTTAAACGCTTCATACTTAGTCCTTATCTCCACATAATTATGTCAAAATTTCCAAGGAGAAGGCACAAACCATCAAGATTTTGTTAAAGTTCTACAAGTTATTCCAGTGTGCTGAAAACCACTATCCTGGGTCAGGGGTTCTCAAAGTATGGTTTCCTGGATCACAGGAATCACAATCATCTAGGAATTTATTAGAAATGCAAATTCTCATGCCTTCTCAGACCTAGTAAGCAAGAAACCTTGAACTTGGGGCCCAGAAACTAGTATTTTAACAAACACTTCTTGTCAGTATGATGCATGCTAAAGTCTCAGAACCACTGCTCTAGAGGACTGAAAATATTCTAGGGTGCTAAACATTTATCATTATTTGAATACATATGAAAGTCTCTTTAACTAAGGGTCTGATTAAGATGCTCTTTAAACATTTATTCAGGGTCTGAATGATATCATATTCTAGTTCAGGGATCCAAATCTGACCCTACAATTAATGCCTAAGTCACCTCCAATACAATAACCTCAAATCCACACACAAGAAAACGTTTTACACTAGTGATGGGGAATGAAGAACAAAATAGAAGATATTTCAGTAACAACCTAAAAGTTTACTTAAGTGTATAAGTTTCTGAATCACTTTATTTAAAGTGACAAGTGTGAAAATAAATACCAAGGCTACAGGGCCAACTGTGAGGAACTATACAAGCTTCTGCAAACCCGACTGTGGGGATCCCCCGGGAGATAAACTGTCTTACACACACATACGTATAATACACACATACATACAAATACATATTCAAGAAACATTTGAGTTTCATTAAGCATAGGGCATTATGCTAGCTTCTGAGTGTAAAGTGCCTGGTCTCAGTCGTGAAAATTTAGAAAATAATACTAAGCCTGGATAAATATCAAGAAAGTTTCCACTAGTCACTGCCTACAGATCTATCTATATGCCTACCCAAAGGTGCTGGAACAAGAAACAAGCATTTTAAGTATAGTATTTTACAAATGTAACCAATGTGGGACCCCTGGGTGGCTCAGCGGTTGACTGTCTGCCTTCAGCTCAGGGCATGATCCCAGAGTCCCAGGATTGAGTCCCACATTGGGCTCCCTGCATGGAGCCTGCTTCTCCCTCTGCCTCTGTCTCTCTCCTCTTTGTCTCTCATAAATAAATAAATAAATAAATAAATAAATAAATAAATAAATAAATAAAATCTTTTAAAAAAGTGTAACCAATATAAGAGAATACTAATGTTAAGACTAAAAAAAAATGATAAGAGGTATAAGCCAGTTTATCGTAAATGTGTAGGTTGTTAACAAGTACATATATGTGTACATGTTTGTATGTATGTATGTGTATGCATGCACATTCACACATACACCCTATGTAGATCAGAGATCTAAATTTTTCGGTAATGGATCAAATAGTAAATATTATAAACTCTATAGACCACATATGGTCTTTTATCACATATCCATCTTAATTTTTTGTTGTTTGATTTTTTACAACCCTTTAAAAATGTAAAAAAAAGAAAAAAAGAAAAAAAAATTCTTGGTTTGTAGGTCTTAAAAAAGTAGGTCAGGAACCAGATCTGGCTGATGGGTCACAGTGTACCAAGTGTGATTTAAACTTATGAAAACACAGAAAAACTAACAGCATAAAAATACTGACTCTTGAAGTAGGAATAGAACAGTCCAATGGGAATTATAGTTTATCACTGGACTTTTTGAACCACATATGTGAATAACATTTTCATGCATTCCTTTGGTTTAAAAAAAGTGAATACACAAGACTAAGTGAAGCTACTTGGCAGTGTAAGTTAAGAATATTCAGAGTTAGAATTTTTCCTCTTCCCTTTTGCCAGGCTTTTGCTCAAGTTTCTACACCATATATGGCTTTTCAAACATTCTGGCATTCTCAGTAAACAAAGAAGAAATTAATGTCATGTAAATGATTTTTGGAAACAAACACGATCCTTCCAGGTCGTATATTACATAACAAATATTCAATACATTAATAACTTTATCATTGCCAGTCACAGGATACCCTGGCACGTCTTAAAAAAAGGGAAGGATACAGAGACCTTAAGGACTTTTGAAATTTTATCTCAGATAACACTCTTCTCCACTCCCAAGGTCTTTATCATCTCTAGAATGAATCCCCAATCTTTCAATGAGTGGCTAAATTAATCTAGTAACAATGCTATTTTCTCTATATTTGTAGAATGTAAATGTTTGACTTCATTAGTGTGAGTACTTTGTTATTTATTCTAGCTTGCAGTGTCTTTTCATCATTTATATAAATGTTATCTTCCAAACATGAATCCAAGCTCTTCCAAAACAAGAACCTAGTTCATATATGCAGGAAGTACATTGTTAGGCATCAAATAAATGGGGGAATGCAGTTCAATTTAAATGAAGTTAGCATTTTAGTAAATGTTAGCATTAGTAAATGTTACTAATTAAAATAAGCAAAAAAAAAAAAACTGTATATTTCCTGTATATTTTTAAACAGAATTTAAAGTTGAAATGCAATTTCTCAAAAGAAAAAAAAAAAAAAGTATACCCTAAATCCAAAGATCTGGGCACTGATGGCTACATAGTTGTGACAGCAACATGGGTACAGACATTAAACATATCCATACGTAGTGATTTTCCTCAGGGAAGGTCAAAAACAACTCTAAAGCTTCAAAGTTATTGAGCTTATTCAATGAACCATCTACTTAAAATAATAATAAATATTAAACATAAAACATAAATACACATAATAAAAGTTTATTGAAATTTTAAGTAAAAAGGCTACTTTTATCATTTAATATGCTGCGTGCCTTAAACAAAAATGTAAAAGGACTTTAAAACTCATGTAATTTTAACAGCTGTAGTTCTTTTTTTTTCAAATGAATGCTTTCATTAAGTTCATGACATCCAATCTTGTCTGTGTGTTGATAAGTACACAAATATAATTACAGATGACACTTTTCTATTAGACAAAGTAAATGCATATTGCAGTATGAAAAATTTTGTTGGCTTTTAACAAATAGGGACTTTATAAATGTGTATAGGAAAACATGGAAGATTAAAAAGGCAAAATAAAATAGCTATATGGTTGATTATATTGAATGATATTCACTCATCACATGGCATGCACAGGTAAATGATCTTGATCATATCCATTCCAGGCAATGAAGTTATCATTCAAACAGCTGTCTAATATAGTTGTAGATTCCTCAATGTTCCATTTATACTCAGGTTGGTAAGAATTATTTATGTTTAAATAGCATGTAAAAACTACAGTATAAAAATAAAACTGAACTACTAAAGTAAGCTTGATAAAATTTTATGTTAAAATGTATGAGACCACATAAAATAAACACAACAGAATAAAATTGCATTTTACTACTCTATGAAAGAGAAAACTGATCAATGTAACTTGCTGTATCCATCTGGTTTTATTTTTTTGTTTTCTTTTAAATGAAAGTCTGTAGGGTATTAATAAGTATGGAAAGATCTAAGTAATATTCCTTAATTTCTTCTACGATATATTCAAAAATACGTGAGAAATATAGTATATATTATACATACTCCTCTGAAAGATAAAATGATAAAGCAGATAATTCTTAATAATTCAATGTACAACTATTGATACAAAGTTTTTGTCTTGGTTATTTTTAGCAAAAAGCAAAATAGTGACCAAGAATGATTTTGAAACTAATCACTTTGCCATTATAACATAATAGAAATAAAAATTAGTGAGCCACAATTTTAGTTGACTACGATTTAACAAGAGATCCAACTCAACTAAATACACACATATAAAATACTTTTACCTGACATCTCTCTCATCTTTATTCCCCATTGCCAAAACCCAAATCATCAGTTATCACTTCAAGTCCTTGAAGAAGCAGACACCAATAAAGAAATAAGATTATGTTATGGGTTGAATTGTGTCTCCCTCAAATTCGTATATTGAAGTCCTATCTTCTAGCTCCTCAGACTGTGATCTTATTTGAAGCTGAGTCTTAACATAATCAAGTTAATATAAAATCATTAGAATGGGCCCTAATCCAGTATGAAGTCAAAAAAAGAAAATTTGCAGATAGACACACACACAGGAAGAATACCAAGTATGAAGATCACTATTTTCAAGCCAAGGAGAGACATCTGGAACAGAACCTTCCAAGTATTAGTCTGCTCATTGCCATAACAAAATACCATAAAACTGGGTGCTAAAAAAATGGAAATGTATTTGTTACTATTCTGGAGGCTAGAAAGTCCAAGATCAAGGGACCAGGTTTCATTCTGAGGCTTCTCTTGGTTTGTAAGCAGCCACCACTTCACTGTTTGCTCATATGACCTCTTCTTGGTGTGTGCAGGGAAAGAGCTCTGATCTCTCTCTTTTTTTTTTTAATAGGATGCTCCAGCCCTATTAGATGAGGACATTGCCCTTAAGACCTCATTTGACACTTATCATTTCTTACAAGTCCTATCTTCAAATATAGTCATATACAAATTTGGGAGGGAACCTAAACATTCATTCTAGAATACTCCCTCATAGCCTTCAG